ATGTCAAAGGACAGACACAACCCAACTTCAACACTTATTATAAAGCAACATCATCAAGACAGTGTGGTATTGGCGAACAGACAAATAGATCATCGGAACAGAACAGAGAACCCAGAAATAGACCTACATAAATATAGCCAAATGATCTTTGACAAAGGAGTAAAGGCAATACAACAGAACAAAGACAGTCTTTTCAACAAATGGTGCTGGACCAAGACATCCACATGCAAAGAAAAACAGAGTCTAGAAACAGCTCTTAGACTTCACAAAAATTAATTTAAAATAGATCACAGACCTAAATGGAAAACACAAAATATAAAGCTTTTAGAAGATAACATAGGAGAAAATCTAGATGACCTTGGGTTTAGATATAGCACCAAAGGCATGATCCATGAAAGAAATTATTGATAAGCTAGACTTCACTAAAATTAAAAATCCCTGCTCTGTGAAAAACTCTATCAAGAAAATTAACACAAGCCACACATTGGGAGAAAACATTTGCAAAAGACATATCTGATAAAGAACTGTTAATCAACATATACAAAGAACTCTTGGAGATTAACAATGGCGGCAGAGTAGGAGATGCTGCAGGGACATGCTCCCAGGAACAAGCTGGAATTACAAATGAAATACGGAAAGGCTCCCTGAATAATCAACAGAAAACTCGCAGGATAGAATCCTGATACCCATGAACCAAAGGTGGAGACCGCATAGAGACTGGAAGGAGGGGCGGAGGTGCGAAAGCGCTGGCCAGGCACCCACAGACGGCAACTGAAGTCCCTGAGAGATATCTCAGCTGGTGAGGGAGCGGGTGGCCTGAGAACTCTGGGACCTAATCCCCAAGCTGGGCTCCCCAGCAGAGAGCACCAAATCTGAGGAGGGTACCCACACAATATCTAGCTGTGAAAAGCAGTGGGGTGCTGTCTGACAGGGAGCAGCAACTGAAAGTTTGGGCACCCTCTTAAAGGGCCAATGAACAAAAATTCCCTGTGGAGCCACCCACGGTGTGCTCTGGCAGAAAGAGGGTGAAGTGGACTGGAGCTATGAGAGCAGAACCTAGGACTGGGGACTCGGGGGATAGAGCTCAGAAGGCAGACACCCAAGTTTCCTGGGCTGAGTCATTCCCTCATGCAGCGGAGGACATCTTTCCCACATAGACATTTGCCTTATCTGGGAGAAGACAGTGGACACACCCCATTGGAAAACACCTTGCCCTGGGGCCATTTAAGAGATTTCAAAGTAACAATTAGCCTCCAGGCAGAAGCACTGCTCCACCCTGTTGAAAAAACTCTGGTTACACCTGAGGATGACTGCCTGGAGGCAAATCAAGTCAGACAGAATCCTATTAGCCCAGTGATGGTGAACCTATGACATGAGTGTCAGAGGTGACATGCGAACTCATTTTTTGGTTGAATTTTCTTTGTTAAATGGCATTTAAATATGTAAAATAAATATCAAAAATATAAGTCTTTGTTTTACTATGGTTGCAAATATCAAAAAATTTCTATATGTGACACGGCACCAAA